CCCACAATCAGCATGACCATGCTTATACAGGCTACCCCACGATCAGCATGTCCATGCCTTACTACAGGCTACCATCCACAATCAGTATGTCCTGCCCTAGTACAGGCTACCATCCACAATCAGCATGACCATGCCTCTACTACCAGGCTACCCCCACAATCAGCATGTCCCTGCCACCCACACCAGGCCAGCCCTCCACAATCAGCATGTCCCTGCCATCCATGCCAGGCTACCCTCCACAATCAGCATGTCCCTGCCACCCACACCAGGCTACCCCCACAATCAGCATGACCATGCCTCTACTACCAGGCTACCCTCACGATCAGCATGTCCATGCCTCTACTACCAGGCTACCATCCACAATCAGCATGACCATGCCTCTACTACCAGGCTACCATCCACGATCAGTATGTCCCTGCCCCTACTACCAGGCTACCCTTCACAATCAGCATGCTCCTGCCTCTACTACCAGGCTATCCTCCACAATCAGCATGTCCCTGCCACCCATGCCAGGTTACCCTCCACAATCAGAATGTCCCTGCCACCCACACCAGGCCACCCTCCACAATCAGTATGACCCTGCCTCTACTACCAGGCTACCATCCACAATCAGCATGCTCCTGCCTCTACTACCAGACTATCCTCCACAATCAGCATGTCCCTGCCATCCATGCCAGGCTACCCTCCACAATCAGCATGTCCCTGCCACCCATTACCAGGCTACCCTCCACAATCAGTATGTCCATGCCCCTACTACCAGGCTACCCCCACAATCAGCATGTCCCTGCCTCTAGTACCCCAGGTTACCCTCCACAATCAGCATGTCCCTGCCACCCACACCAGACCAGCCCCCCACAATCAGCATGTCCCTGCCATCCATGCCAGGTTACCCTCCACAATCACGCATGTCCCTGCCACCCACACCAGACCAGCTCTCCACAATCAGCATGTCCCTGCCACCCACACCAGACCAGCTCTCCACAATCAGCATGTCCCTGCCACCCACACCAGACCAGCCCACCACAATCAGCATGTCCCTGCCCCTACTACCAGGCTACCATCCACAATCAGTATGTCCCTGCCCCTACTACCGGGCTACCATCCACAATCAGCATGTCCCTGCCCCTACTACCGGGCTACCCTCCACAATCAGCATGTCCCTGCCACCCAGACCAGACCAGCTCTCCACAATCAGCATGTCCCTGCCATCCAAGCCAGGTTACCCTCCACAATCAGCATGTCCCTGCCATCCATGCCAGGCTACCCTCCACAATCAGCATGTCCCTGCCATCCATGCCAGGTTACCCTCCACAATCACGCATGTCCCTGCCACCCACACCAGGCTACCCCCACAATCAGCATGACCCTGCCTCTACTACCAGGCTACCCCCACAATCAGCATGTCCATGCCTCTACTACCAGGCTACCATCCACAATCAGCATGTCCATGCCCCTACTACCAGGCTACCATCCACAATCAGTATGTCCCTGCCCCTACTACCAGGCTACCATCCACAATCAGCATGTCCATGCCTCTACTACCAGGCTACCATCCACAATCAGCATGACCCTGCCTCTACTACCAGGCTACCCCCACAATCAGCATGTCCATGCCTCTACTACCAGGCTACCATCCACAATCAGTATGTCCCTGCCCCTACTATCAGGCTACCATCCACAATCAGTATGTCCCTGCCCCTACTATCAGGCTACCATCCACAATCAGCATGTCCATGCCTCTACTACCAGGCTACCCTCCACAATCAGCATGTCCCTGCCCCTACTACCAGACTACCCTCCACAATCAGCATGTCCCTGCCACCCATGCCAGGTTACCCTCTACAATCAGAATGTCCCTGCCACCCACACCAGGCCATCCTCCACAATCAGCATGTCCCTGCCACCCATGCCAGGTTACCCTCCACAATCAGCATGTCCCTGCCTCTACTACCAGGCTACCATCCACAATCAGTATGTCCCTGCCCCTACTACCAGGCTACCCTCCACAATCAGCATGTCCATGCCTCTACTACCAGGCTACCATCCACAATCAGTATGTCCCTGCCACCCACACCAGACCAGCCCACCACAATCAGCATGTCCCTGCCCCTACTACCAGGCTACCATCCACAATCAGCATGTCCCTGCCCCTACTACCAGACTACCCTCCACAATCAGCATGCTCCTGCCTCTACTACCAGGCTATCCTCCAAAATCAGCATGTCCCTGCCACCCACACCAGGCCAGCCCTCCACAATCAGCATGTCCCTGCCACCCATGCCAGGTTACCCTCCACAATCAGCATGTCCCTGCCACCGACACCAGGCGACCCTCCACAATCAGCATGTCCCTGCCACCCATGCCAGGTTACCCTCCACAATCAGAATGTCCCTGCCACCCACACCAGGCCAGCCCTCCACAATCAGCATGT